GGAGGGGGCATGGGAGTTTGCCCAACCAATCCACATGTGCTTTGTGGATTTGGAGAAGGCTTATGACCGTGTCCCCAGGGGCACCCTGTGGGGGACGCTCCAGGAGTATGGGGTGGGTGGCTTTCTGTTAAGGGCCATTCAGTCCCTTTACCAGAGCAGCGTGAGTTTGGTCCGCATAGCCGGTAGTAAGTCGGACCTGTTCCCAGTGAGGGTTGGACTCCGCCAGGGCTGCCCTTTGTCACCGGTTCTGTTCATCACTTTTATGGACAGAATTTCTAGACGCAGCCGTGGTGTGGAGTGTGTCGAGTTTGGTAGCAGGAGAATCTCGTCTCTGCTTTTTGCGGATGATGTGGTCCTCCTAGCTTCATCCAGCTCTGACCTTCAGCTCTTGCTGGGTAGGTTCGCGGCCGAATGTGAAGCGGCTGGGATGAGGATCAGCACCTCCAAATCTGAGACCATGGTTCTCGACCGGAAAAGGGTGGCTTGCCACCTCCGGGTCGGGGGAGAGGTCCTACCTCAAGTGGAGGAGTTTAAGTATCTCGGGGTCTTGTTCACGAGTGAGGGTAGGAGGGATCGGGAGATCGACAGGCGGATTGGTTCGGCGTCTGCAGTGATGCGGACGCTGAGCCTATCTGTCGTGGGGAAGAGGGAGCTGAGCCAGAAAGCCAGGCTCTCGATTTACCGGTCGATCTACGTCCCAATCCTCACCTATGGTCATGAGCTTTGGGTAATGACCGAAAGAACGAGATCGCGGATACAAGCGGCCGAAATGAGTTTCCTCCGTAGGGTGGCCGGGCTCAGCCTTAGAGATAGGGTGAGGAGCTCGGACATTCGGGAGGGACTCGGAGTAGAACCGCTGCTCCTCCGGATCGAAAGGAGCCAGTTGAGGTGGTTTGGGCATCTGGTCAGGATGCCTCCTGGACGCCTCCCCGGGGAGGTGTTTCGGGCATGTCCTGCCGGCAGAAGGCCCCCGGGTCGACCCAGGACACGTTGGAGAGGTTACATCTCCAATCTGGTCCGGGAATGCCTTGGGGTCCTGCCGGAGGAGCTGGTGGACAAGGCCGGGGAGAGGACGGCCTGGAGCTCCCTAATTGGTATGCTGCCCCCGCGACCCGGACCCGGATAAGCGGAGGAAGACGAAGACGAAGACGAAGAAGATGAATAACATGAAATTATTTTAGGCATAGACAACATTTCCCACACTTTTCAAAAGCTTGCAACGCGCCTGATCGCTCGTGTACGTCTTAATTATCTTTCATTAGACGATAATCAATAAAACGATTTATATAAAGTGGATCCAGAAGTTGTAGCCCATTCCTGCCGACAATATTTTGATATTTTTCACCCTGTTGGTGATTTTACTGAGCAGGTGCCACTTTTGTCATACGTTTCTTTTTAAAACATGTTTAGACTGTTCAGAATACAAATCCAGGCTCTGTCACGTTTGATTGTTGTAATTAAACTTTGTAGGTGGGGAAGGTCAGAAAGCGCATATGATTACGCACAAGCGTGACGCGTCAACCCGGTCTCACAGTAAGACCGGGTTGGACCTGTTCAGGTTTACGCAGACAATCTTTACATTTAGAATTGGCATACAGATGTAAAATTAATGTAGTAAAATATAAAGCATTTTATTTAAATATCCATACATTATTTTACAAGCACAGAGAGCCGCATCAGATGGATGGAAGAGCCGCATGCGGCTCCAGAGCCGCGGGTTGCCGACCCCTGAGCTAGCCTACTTTATTGTCCCCAGCAATTTTTAAACCCCACTCAAGTGTATGGTTATTGTCCCCAGCAATTCTGAAAACAAACTGACGCCCTTGCTCGTTTCTCTACTCTAACACACCTAATTCAGGTGTTGAATCACCAGCAGAGTTAGTAAGGAGCGTTTTAGCACCATTGACTTGCGTTATTGTTTCAATCTTCCGGGGTCCAAGTAGATGGGTGGGACTTAGACGTCCTATGACTCCGTACCATCTTCTCGTGCCTTCTCTCCTTTTGAACCCTGCTTTTTATGGGGAGAAAAAAGTTTCAAAAGATTTGTGTGTGTGTCTAGATTTGTACATGTGTATCTAAATTTGTCGTGTGTATCTAGATTTGTGTGTGTAACTCTTGATTTGTAACTTGTGTTTACATTTTCGTGTGTAACTTCAGCTCTTACACATACAAATCATTGAACAAACACACACACACACACACACACAGACGCACACACACATAAAATGTCTGAAATGGTCTAAAGTAATAGCAGTCTAGCTCTCTCATTATAACTAGACTGCAAAGTGTGCACGTTTAACATTTACTTCATAGGAAAGATCACCATAGGGAGCCTAAGTCTCCTCCCTTTCTGGTCGGCTCATGAGTGCCCAGAAGAACAAAAAAATTAACGCAAGTCTCCGGGGCTAAAAGCTATTTTCTAATTCGCTTTGCCTTATGCCCTGGATACCATACCATACCAATTTATTTATAAACCACCATTTCACAATAGCATGGCAGCTAACCAAAGTGCTGTAAATAAAAGAGCCAAATGCTTGAACATATTAGCAAAACACAATGAAAGAATGAAAATCTTTCATGGCCAGCCTAGGCACGCTAATGGCTAGCCTCTCCAATGCTAACACCAGCCCGTCCAGGCTAGCGCTAGCCTATCCATGCTAATAGACAGCAGAGGGAGTGTGTGAACCAGTCAACGACCAGCCGAGGGCTGCTAGTCCCTAGCGTATCTAGTAGTAACGCCGGTAAAGGTGCTATTTCTCAGTAAGCAGTGCCAGCCTCTCTGTTACTGGCACCAGCTTATCATTAATCAGGTCGGTAGTTTGCTTCAGAATTTATATCAATCAATCAGTCAATCAAAGCTTTATTTATAAAGCGCCTTCCGCGACCCTGTCGGGAAGCCCAAGGCGCTTATATAGCCTCCTGCTTGGCAGTAGTCTTAATTTTGGCCCCCATATCGCACCATATATTTTCAGGGCCGACTTGAATCTGCTGACAGAGGGAGCCAAACGCACATGGAGGGGCAGAGTGTTCCAGAGTTTTGGGGCTACATGAGAGAAGGCATTTGTACAGAACCTTCGAAACAAGCAGCAGATGATCTGCTGAACGAAGGGGACGAGTGGGAACATACAGAGTCAGCAGGTCCCTCAGATAGGATGGGGATGGGCAATACAAAGCCTTGTAAACATATTAAAAGACCTTGAAGTGAATCCTAAATTTGACGGGGTGCCAGTGTAAATCTGCAAGGATAGATGTGATGTGCATGCGTCTGTCAGTGTTGGTTAAAAATCTGGCCGCAGCATTTTGAACCTTCTGCAGTCTGTTTGGGGCTGAAGCATTAATCCCAATCAGGACAGAATTTGCATAATCCAGACGTGAAGTAATGAAAGCATGAATGACTGACTCAAGATGCGGGCGTTTGAGGATTGATCACACATATGTTGTACTGCTATTTAAATGAAAACTAATTATGGGTGTTTCGACCACGCCAGTCACATATTGAGATTTATCAGCTTGTAAAAGTTCGTAATTAGCATGACTACATCAGCACGTCACATATGTGACGTCACCACAGAACCTCCTCTCCTCTAGCGTAGCTGCTACTTATCAGGTGACTAGATTTATAGTGGTTCTTTCCTCCTGAAGGATTTGAAGTTCGCTGAACTTACAGCAATTTTCCTTCCATTTTTCTCCGTTTCTGGTTCGATGACATCACTTTCGTGAAGCGCATTTGTCCTCCTGGACTTATTTTCACACTAAATCTAAAATTGTTTGCCCCCGTTCGAAAATAAGCTTTCTTGGTATCAAAATGTGTCTTTAAAATTCACGGACATCATTTGTGAAATCCATGACACATGACAAGCAGTTAGAAAAGAGCGTTTTTTGCACCATTGACGAATTGCATTCATCTTTTCATTCTTCCGGGGTCCGAAAGTAGATGGGTGTGACTTAGGCGCCCTATAACTTTGTACCATCTTCTCGTGCCTTCTCTCCTTTTGAACCCTGCATTTTCCAGTCAGAGAACTGCGCTGCCATTTATTAGTCATTTCTTATAACCCTTTCACTGTTTTCATGGCTCACAAACACGTCTAAATAAATAATTTTAGATTATTAAAAATTAAATGTTGGTCTTTCTTTTATAACTACAGGATCCTAAGATACTGCATTTGTCCACAGAAAAACATTTGTCCCATCAACACAAATTTTGACTAAATCCAAAGGAAATTTGGATTTCCCAACTTCCACCAAGCATTCAAAAGCACAATGTACGCACATATCAGTCAGGTGGGAAAATAGTCTCTAAAGGATTTTTGTACTTGTAAACTGATCTGTGTGTAACGTAGTTTAGTCTGTGTGTACCAGGTGATTTGTATGTGTAAGAACTGAAGTTACACACAAAAATGTAAACACAAGTTACAAATCAAGAGTTACATACACACAAATGTAGATGCGCACACACACACACACACACACACACACACACACGTACAGATCTGTTGAAACTTTTCTCCCCATACTCTAATACCTAAAATAATTCCATCAGTATTGAGCAGGATCTTTTGTCCAAGGACAAATGACAATTAAATTAGTCATGTTGATTGTAAATAACTGGCATTACAAACAGCTGAAGTGCCTGTTAGATCAGGAAATTTTGAATTATGGACAATTAAGGTCTTAATGTCATTATGATAAATTATGTTGCCATACACAAGGGGTGGGGAGTCAAATTACAGGGACATGTGAAAAGAAATTGCAGATGTTACAAGTATGAGCAGCAATTAATAACCCTCAACAGATAATCTAAACAGTAAGGTGACCCCCCCCCCCCCAATTCACACATACACAACCATGAAGTCGAGGACATGCGTGCCCCCACGTACAGTCATACTACTGATCAGAAGTGTTCTTACAGCTGCAGTTTAAAGGAACCACATCATGTCCAGAAATATAACCAAAAACATGAACAAAATGCAAAGCAGAGATTAACTCCACAGAATCCCAACTTTGCAAAATAGTTCCTTTATTTTTCCTTTTCCTGCCACTGTCAAGAGTAAAATTGTAGTTTTACATTATTAGAGGCATCAGTGTCTTAAATATCCTCATTTTAAATACGGTGGACAAGCAGTTTGATACTTTTGCTGCTTTATTATAACAACATAAAGCAGCGATTTTCTGCAGTAGTTAAAAAGTTCTATGCCTCAAATAATGCACCATTTTAAATTAGTCTTACAACACAGACATCCACGTACTTTGTTTGGTGCAGTTAGAGTCCAGAGTCAAATCCCTGTTGTGAAATACTTGTAGAGAGCTGTGGATCGCCATGGAAAGACAATACTTAAGATCACTCAAAGAGATATGCTCAAGGTCCAGCTTCCTTTAACAAAAACACATCTGACCATGTTTTAAACTTTTCCTTTTTTTAATATAAATATGACAATCTTTGTATAGGCGTTCTCTCATACCCAACTAGTGTTGCACACAAAACAAGAGGAGGAAGAGGAACCGACGCACAAAGATGTCAAGATGGAACCAATCTCAAACGAAACAAAGTCTCCTCTGGAGTTCAGAGCATGAGGCACAGCGACAGTGAGCAGGATGGCGCCTCACCAGACCCACATCTGAGATAACACACCTATTTTAAAATCCTGGAGGCAACTGTTGAGGTGTTACTGTCCGGTGTGAACAGTAAATGTATTTAAACAAAAAAGAAAACCAAGCGTACTTGTGTTACCTCTAATAAACATGGGAGATGGGAATAACCTGACAACTCACTAAAAAGGTGTACACACAAATAAAGGTTACATTTTCTTAGAAAAATAAACACTACAGTGGCACGGGACAAACGGGGGACAGACTAAACAGTTCTACCACAGAGCCACTTAGAGGGGAACTTAGAAAAATAAAAGTCTGTCATCAGAAATTAAAAGAAAATAAATGTTTTTTTCCCCCCTCACATTAAAAAAGTAAAGAGGAGATGGGCAGGCAAAAAACAAGACAAAAGGAAAACAGAATTGGCACAACATCACCTAAACAACAAGGAAGGTGTGACTCTGCCACAGAGTAGTCTTCTGTCCACATCTGGAACAAAGTGGCAAAGTTTGGTTACCCAGTAGCAACAGAGAAGGATGCTGGGAGCTGACCACGGATCATCTCGATCAAAGGTTACCACAAGCTCATCCTGTTAGCTTGTCCTGGAATATGTAGAGGTTGTTAGTCGTTGCCACGGCAATGATGTTGTCCAGGGGGTGCCAGGCAGTGTGAAGGATTTTCTTGTTGAAGTCCAAACTATCCACGCTGATTTCATCCTTCTTGCGTTTGCCACCTGTACACACCTTGCGGGGCTTCAGGACCTGCAGTGGTTTGCTGTTTTCCCGGGACGCTTCCAGCGTTACATCCCGCCTGTGCTCACGGTCGAACATCCGGAAGAAGTTGTTGTATGAGCCGGTCATCACCACACTGGGGGAGAAAAACATTTGAGCCTTTAAAAAAAACATTCGCAAAATAAATACCGGGTCAGGTGGAATTCTGAAGAGCAAAGCGACAAGAATAACTGAGTACTTTAGGAATAAAGTGGATCCAAATGCTGCTGAAAGCTGACATATTATGATATTTTTTTCTCAAGTTATAATAGTCCTGCGGTCGATACCAAACGTGTTCGTGAAGTTCTTTTAAAAAAAAATCCTCAAAGAAGGTTTCAGCAAGTTTATTATTGACCTTTTCAGTACCTTCCATAATGAGCCATTTCAAAGCTCTGTCACTTTAAGAAACCAAGCTGGAGCTGGCCACACCCACCCATCCCATGCTCGGGCTGCTATAAGCTGAGAAGCTCCAAAATCCTTTGAGTAGAGACATTGGTCCTACAGCCTGGAGAGGTGAGAGGCAGTTCTATCCTAGTTTTCCCATTTGAGACATCACAAACGGGGACTTTTGAAACCGCTTGTTTTAGGCACCTAATTCCTAAATCCAAACACTGACAGAAAACTAGTGGATTTAATTTTTTGTTCACGTTTTGAGTGTTTATAGAGGCAGTAGAGGCCCACATGGACGCACTAATAAATGCAAAAGGCTAGTTTTGCAACAGTATTTCCCCAATGAACATTTGAAATGTCTCTCCTAAAATATTGTTTCAACCAGAGATGTCAAACTCAAATAAACCAAATTTTGAAGTTTTGCCTTAAGCTCAAGGTGAACTTGGGTCATAACTCATTACAAAAATGTCTAAACTATGTTTTTAAATTTATTGAGTCAAATGTGAATTATCCAATGCATTCTTTCAGAAAAAAATTAGATTAAAAAAAAAGAAATTTAAATAAAAAAAATCAAAACAAAAACACACAATTAGTTTATATCTACCCCTCCATCATCAGTTTTACACTCAATTCTTAAGACAACCTTTGATCAGGCAGATTGTTAACCATGAAGGGGAGCTCGAAGGAAAGCCGAGTAACAGCAAGTATGTGAACAAAGACGCAGCCTGTGCCAACGCGAGGTTAAACAGCAAGTATATTCCAGGCCTAAGATGTTCCAGTGCATTCTGGTATTTTTAGGACTAGGGATGCATCTGCAATCTACCTGTAGGCCAATTCTGGTGCACACAAATAACGATTTAGCAGGCTGGATAAAACTAACAACTGAGTTAGAGACACTCAATGGTATTTGAATATCTTCTGTTTAGGGAGTCAGTTTATCTACATGAATCTTGGAAATGGGTGTTGCCCTGCAAACTGTCATCCTAATACAGGAAAGCTACTTTATAAATGCTGTTGAAACAAAAGTCTGAGTTTGTACGTTTCCAGAAGCTGAACAGTGTTTGTGAACAGGTTTTATAAGCGCCAGCAGTGGAGCCACTTTGAAGAATAAAATCCCAGAGAGCTACACCGTGTGTCCCAACTTGTACAAGCAATTAAATGTTTCTAAGAAATTGTAATTAGTGCATTGTGCTCATACCTGTCATTGCCATTCCAGCAGCATTCAAACTTGTCGAAGATGCAGTCGTTCTCGTAGAGCGAGCACAGCTTGCTCCTCAGGTACTCGTGAACCTGTAACCAGATAGGGACTGTAAGCTCAAAAACCTGTACTGCGATCAGACTGTGGATTAAAACTCTAATCTGAGGCTTAGAACAAACACTGAACAAATGCCAAGTATGTTTAGGGTGCCTCCTAGTAGCCACTGTGTGAAATTACCATGAGTTACAAAGGTGGGGCTTTGATTAGGTAACACTATAACGACATCTGATTCCTTTAAAGGGAACAATTTAAAATCTGACGTAGGGATGCATCGATACCACTTTTTTTCCAAACAGATACTTGGATCTGAGTACTCGCCGATACAGACTACCGATATCGATACTTCTACCACACAAAAAAATGCAATGATTTGGAATACAGGTTTTATTTTCTTCTCTGATGTAAACAGGAAAAGACTGTAAGGTAGATACAAAATAAAATATATCAATAGAAATGATCACAAAACTAAAATATTAGGTGAACAGAAATGACAAGTAATGTGTGTGAAGCCACTTTTAGGCAACTGCATTGGCATCGGTTAACTTTTACCGATACCAGTATTGGTATCAGTGCATCCCTAGTAAAAACAAAAAGAAAGAAAGAAAAAATCTGAATATCAAAAAAAAAAAAAATACTGCAGTTGTGTCCAACCCTGGTCCTCCAGGGCAACCATCCTGTTTATTTTAGAAGTTTAACAATCCGACACACGGAAGTTTAATTAGTAGGCTTGGGCGGTATTACCGTATACATGCGGTATTACAAAATAGCGACGGTGTCAGTTCCAATACCGTCATGAAAAACAGCTGTGCGTGCGTGCACTAAGGAGACAAGGATTAAAAATGTAAAAATCAATTAAAAAGATAAATAAGTCATTTCATGTATAAAACTGATGTGTTTTTGAATTTTTGTTTTTACTTAAATATTTTAAAATGTTTTGTAAGCTTTGGAGATATATCATAAAGTTTATGAACGTGACGTTACGTAATCACGTGACAGTGCGGAGGAGAAAGGCTGAGCGAAAGACGACAGGTTGCGCACCGACTGACTTGGTGTCCAAAAAGAAAACTACCTCTGCAATTTGGGCATTTTTTGGCTTCAAACCAAATGACAAAGGAGAGCTGGTGAATCCCAATGAGGCAATTTGTAAATCATGCAATAAAAAGGTAACCGCATGAAATGGAAACACCTCAAACCTACGGACACATCTCAGAATCAACCACCCACTCACTGCCGCGAGGGTGAATTTGGCTCCGAGTTCAGTCAGTGCAACAGTTTCAACACCTCTCACTGACACCAATGCAGGACCAGGACCAACAACAAAGACCACCACCAGTTACGTGCAGCTAACAATAATAGGGGCCTTTGCCAAAACAACAAAATATAAAAGGGACAGTGTCCATTGGAAAACTTGCACTGATGCTGTGACAACATATTTAGCAAAGGAAATGGTTTCTTTCCACACGGTGGAAAAAAAGTCATTTAAGGACATGGTAACGGTCCTAGATGCCCAGTACGAGCTGCCCCGACAGAAACATTTTTCACAAACAGCAATCCCAAGTTTGTATGTTAAAGTCAGAGACGATGTTCAGGCGTTGCTGTCCGGGACAGATCATTTTTCCTTAACAACTGACATGTGGTCGTCGGTTAATATGACACCATACATGTCTCTGACTGTCCACATAATTAGACCTGAGTGGAAACTTGAATCCAAATGCCTCCAAACAACCTATTTTCCAGAGAGTCACACAGCAGAGAATCTTGCTGCTGCGCTCAAAGCTGCACTTCAGGACTGGAAACTCGAAGAGGAAAAACTTTCAGCCATAACAACCGACAACGCTGCAAACATTTCTGCTGCAATCAGGTCCCTACCGTAGCCGTGGCATAACTGCTTTGGTCACAATCTAAACTTGGCGATCACAAATGCATTGCATGGCCATAAGCAAAAAACTGAACGCGCCCTCGGATTATGCCGCAGCATTGTGGGGGCTTTTCACACAGCTGGCAACGTAAAAGTGAACTCCACAAGAAGCAAGTGGAGTTGGGACTCCCAGAGCATAGTCTCTTAACGGTAAGCATACATTTAGTCTATATCTGAATCTGATAACGTTAGATCATGTAACTAACAATATAATTTGTTTATTTATTTAGTTATTAATTTAGTGTGTCATTCGTCCGTCGGCAGGACTGCGCAACTCGCTGGGGCTCCAAACTGGCAATGGTGGAGCGCATCCTCGAGCAGGCCCCAGCCATCAAGCTCGTCCTGTCCGATGACAGAAGAAGCAACCTGTCCCTGCACTGGCAGGATACGGATATCTTGAAAGCTGTGAATGGCGCACTGAAACCTGTTGGTGACTTCACTGATATTTTGTCTGGTGAAAACTATGTCACCAGTTCCTCTATCCTCCCCATACTCCAGCTCTGCAGGGAGAGCGTGTTGGCTGTATCAGAAGACGACCTCCAGCTTACAAAGTCAATAAAAACCACAATTCTAAAAAAGCTGGAGGCCAAGTATGAATCTGATTCAGTGCGCAAATTAATGCGAAAATGCACTTTCCTCGATCCTCGTTACCGTGGCAGATATGAGCTTGATGACAACGCACTGGCTGAAATCAAAGCTGAATTACAGGCTGAGATCGTGAGCTTAGAGGGGCAAGCAGCACCAGAAGCAGTGGCCATCAGAACCATAGAGGAACGAGCACAACCTGAACCCCCACACAAAAAGATGTCTCTGGGAGCTCTCTTGCAAAAACGAGCCGCTGACGCTGCGCCAGAGGGTCCCGTCAGCACAGAGCAGCGAGCTGGAGCTGAAATAACAGCGTACTGTTTGGAACCTGTTATTCAAGGGGACGACGACCCTCTTCTCTGGTGGAAATATGCTGCCAGTCGTTCTCCCCAGATGTCACGACTGGCCCGGAGGTATCTATGCATTTGTGCCACCAGCTCACCATCGGAGCGGGTTTTCAGCACCGCAGGTAAAGTTGTTGGTCCACAACGTGCAAACTTGAACCCAGAAAAAGTAAACATGCTGGTTTTTCTGGTGAGAAATCTTAACTAGTTTTGCTGCAACATGCCGTAATGTTCACACTCCTCTGTGTGTGTGTGTGTGTGTGTCCGTGTGAGGGAGTTTTCTTTTTATAATTTTAATGCAGTTGTTTTGGTTGCAATAATTTTTATAATTTCAATGTTTATGGTTATTCAACTCTTGTTGACTGTTACGGCCTATTTGCACTGTTTCACGCTGCTCGTTGATAAGTTGTTCACTTGATTTGCGCACAACAGCGGTCCTGGGTTTTTATGTTGATTTATTGCTGTTGGACTGTTGACTCTTTGCACTTGTTTATAAGCTGCATTTTTTGTGTTAATAAATGTTGTTAATAGTATGAGTTGCGTTGTTTTTTTTTAGTAATTGTTTGGTATTCAAATTCAGAAAGGTGAGGGTCCACTTGAGGCTTACGTCATACTTTTAAGTATTCACAGTAATACCGTATACCGGGGTAAAATTAAGTGGAAGTTAGACGGTATTCAAATTTGGATACCGCCCAAGCCTAAGTGGGAGATTAACAAGCTTTCTGCAGTTTGATGAGCTGCTGAACAGGTGATATAATCAGGTGTGTTAGAGCAGAGAAACAACTAAAATGTGCTGGATAATGGTCCAGAGAACCAAGGTTGGGCAGACCTGCATTACAGGAATATTTTAGACATTTTTCTGAGCAAAAATTTTAAACATCAAGTTCACCTGTTTTTTGTCAACACATTTGCAGCAGTCTCTCTGATACAACCAAAAGCTCTCACAACCTTGTTTCAGAAGGTTGAAGTTAGCCAGAGCCACGGGGAGGAGAACACAACAGGATTTGGACTCTCATTTCCTGATATTTGGACATCTGTCCTCTGATTGGAAAACAGCAATGCAACTCTACCACTGACTCTGTGCTCTGAAACGTTGATGCTTTATCTCCACAATAACACAAGCCTGAAGGAGTTCTGCCAGGTGGTGGAGTTGCTAATGCTAATGGTTAGCTTCTACTAGCTGAGATGTTCTCTGCAGTTTCCTGGATGCTAAACCAACACAGCTTTTGTAATCAGAGTTTCCCAGTCTATTTTCTGTTGGCGGCTAATGCAGGTAATAGGGGTAGAAGACAATTTTTACGCTTTAGCCCGCACGAGAAACTCAAGAGTGACTGATAATATATAAAAAATGATAGGTACAAAATTATTCCTCTGTGAACTTTGTCTTTAATAACTCCTATTTTTCCAATTTTAGCAAGCTTCTCATTTAGAGAAGAACCATTTGTGTTCTTTAGGGCTGATGAGCTAACAGCAAGTTTAAAATTATGTCAGGCCTGTTGTGTTGAGCTGAGGCAAAGATGTCAGCTGCAGACACAAATCTAACAAGCACCAGAGATTTTGCAAAAACTAAACACTAAAAACAATGATTTAAAGGATTTCACACTTTTCAGCAAGTTTTTTTCGTGCTCGACTGACCAAAAGAATATAATGTGACAAATGAAAACGATCAGCAAGTTCCACCAAAACAAGAGATGCAGGTTTTAGTCACTCTCACCTGATACGTCTCCACCGGCCGGTTTTCCATTTTTAGGTCCCAGATCTTCACAGACAAGTAGTCTCTAGTCATCATGTACTGTCCGTTGTGACTAAACTTAACGTCTGAGATGGATGAAATGATCTCAGAGAAGAAGGAGCGGTTACTGGGATTCTCCGGCTCCTCGAACACTGAAGGAGACAAAGCAGAGTGATACTCAGATCCGACTGAAGCACTCTCCAAAGGTCAGGAGAATCATTATGAGTTTATCGCAAATCGGGTATCAAGTATCCATTTTGTATTTCATAAGTATTTTTCGTAGATCAGGAACTGCGTCGTACGTTTGGAGTGCTTGTCACACAGAGCCGAGGCCCTCATGTCACAAAGACGGATGGTTCCTTTGCTGCTGCTGAAGACAAAGGTGTTACACTGGTTAGGGTGAAACTCTGACGCTGTGATCACCTCTGTAAGCTCCTCCATGTTAGCTGGTTTAATGTCAACAATATCTAAAGAGAGTGCTGTTAAGGAGAAATTTGTAGGACAGCAGACTGGATTTATCCCTTACAAGTGGTTAGTTTGTAAAGTGTTACGAAAACAGAGTCAATGACTGCATAAATTAACTGATCAGTGTGTTTTAAGGATACTGAAGCTGCGGTCGGTGATCTCTAGGTTCCATAGGTTGATGCGCAGGTCGTCTGCCGACAGGTAGGTCTCATGATCACTGTTGACTGAGACAGAGTTGATATGGTAGGTGTGAGCATTGGCAAATACCCTCCGAGGACTGGCTTCCACCATGAGGTCCATCGGGATTAAAACTGGTACCTGTGATTAAAGAAAATAAATTACTATAGAATTTTGAAACGTCAAAAATAACGCATTATCTCCTCAAACTATTATTCAGAGAACCTAAATAGCTTCAGTAGCTCCTTTTAGGATGTTCTAGGTCGGGGTCTCCAACCTCTTGGACACTGTGAGTTACTTTTACACAATGACAGTACAGAAGAGTTACTGCTATATGATTTATTCGCACTAGCTATGTTTACACAAGCCACTTTTACTCTATCCGATTCAAATCTTGGTAGATCGAAAATCCCAAATCTCTATTTACATGGACACGAACAGAAATTATCCGATCATGCCGTGAGTATACATGCACCAAGCATTCGGTCAGATTAAATAGGTTGAGCAGTTAGTCTTTACCGGAAATAAATTGTAAACAAACAAACACCATCTTGACCGCACGTCTTTCCCCTTGCATTTTATTTTCTTATTCTCTAGCTTTGTTTGTTCACTTACATTTTTTATGGACCTTCTTCGCATTTTTTCCTGAATGCTTTTGTTTTTACTGATCGCTGTAACTATGCTACAGGCTCAACGGTACGCAACGCTACTGCTCCTCCACCACAGGATAACTTCTGTTTACCTCCCGCCATGTTTTCGACTTGTCCTGAGCATCTGCAAGGGCGGAAAGACGTCACGCCGAAGTTGCACACATACGCAGTGGGCAGTATTTTACTCCAAGAATCCAGATGTGTACATGGACGTCAATCAGAATGATGATCGAACAAAACCACCTCTCTCGATCGAAATTACATTCAATTATGATCGGTTCATATCAGATTAGAATATTCCAATTGACAAGTTTACATGAAAAATTTTTGATCTGATAGGGCGTTCATTAAATTACTTGTGCCCATGCAAACATAGCTGCCGATACTTTCCATGTGTGAATAGCATGAGCTGATGTAAAAGGTCATGGCGCCCGGCTACGATCGCAGCGGTCTGAGGCTCTGCTTGTAATTTAACAGTCCCAGTCCATATTAGATCTCCACATGCGACCAGCATGACTACAGCCTTGCACGGAAACCAGTCGGCTGTGCGGGTGGGCTACCCCGGTCCTCTGAGCACTTTCTTAGCTTCTTGGGTAAGCTAAGTTAACTAGTAGCTAGATTGATTCATTTGTTCCAACCATAACAGCCCCAACCTGAGCTCTGGCTCTTCCCATTTTTGGATTGTCTGGGTGTGACAACACATGTGACACAGCCAAAATGTCAGTGTTAAGAACCTCCCATTTGGCCTCCAACCTGCCCCCCCCCCCCGCAGAGCAATGGGGGGGGGGGGTGTTATGTCCATCCTTTTTACGTCGACGGTTGGGAGTTACTGGTAGCTCGTGAGCAATGTGTTAAGAGACCCCGGTTCCAGGCAGTCTTTAAGTTATTAAGGAACATAGGGCATAAAACCATAACTGCTTACTTTAAAATGTATGCTGACATAGAAACACAAAACAAGTCTAAACGCTTCACGCAGCTTATGTTTAGTGAGTCTGACTGACCCGCAGCGATGTGATACTGTTTGGATCTTTGTATCGTCCGTCCTCTTCTTTCAGATTATAACCATCCGCTCTCCTGTCTCGTTCACTGATTTTCCACAATTTTATTGTCTTATCTGTGGGATGAGATAATAGGATATCATTGAACAAATAGTACAAGGTCGAGACATTTTTTTTAATAAAGATTTAGTCATGTCATTCCAGAAATGCATATAAAACAGGTCCAATTTAAGTCCAGTTCACTCAGGATTAGTGAGGTGACTGATCAGATGAATATGAAATCATGAAAGATCCAACTGTGGTGATGATCTCCCAAAGCGGTGAGATCGGAAAATCACCCCATAAAATGTTTCCACTGGGACTGTTCTGGATGTGGCACACTCTGAGCCTTTAGTTTTTATTCATCAATATAAAACAACTAATGCTAAAGATGTGTTTAATTTACTTTGTGTTGGTTTGTTAACACAGTTCAACAGTGAGGTGGTGATTTACACCACTGTTAGAAGTGGCAAGACGTTAGCATTGCTAGCACATGCTAGTCTCTCTTAGAGACTTGTTTTACCACAGAAGACTGTGTGGTTGTATTGTTGAGTTAAAATAGTTTAAATAACAATAGATAAAAATTAATACATTTATGAATCTGTTATCAACTATTGTTGTATCATGAAGTGTTGTTCTGTATCTTTCCATTTTCAAACTTCTTTTTTAACCAAAATTATAGAGATAATTGTATCGAGCAAACTTCAAATTTCAAAAGTTTGGGTGAATTTTTTTGGTTCTAGATCAAGAATTTATTTTTTTCAGATTTTCAGCTTTTTAATTTACAGTTTTTACACATTATATAAAATAATATAAGGTGATGTTGTCTATGTGCACAGGATTTATGATAAGCAACGCTGATTTTAAATAAGTAGTCAACATTGTGTGTGTACTCTTTTTAGGAAACAAAACCATTTTCCTTTTGTTGACTCTCTTAAATAACAGGAAATATTATTTCTGAGATCAGAAACTAAAGACAGACACCCTCACTTAATTTATCCAGGAGAACCGAACATTTGGATCTTTTACTCTTAAGTCCACAGCAGGTTGTGTTTTGGTGAAGCTACTAGTTAGAACTCATCGGTTTAAACTTCAGTAACAGATTTACCATTGGTCGACAACAGGAACTGAGCAGCGTTCTTCTGAGGAAGCCAGCGGATCTTGTTGATCTTCTCTTCTATTTCCAAACTCTTTAAGTAGTCGAACTCGGGCTCGTGGCTCTGGAAGGTGCTGTAAACGTTGTACTCGCTCCGTAACTGAGGATAATTCTTGTTCTGTTAGGAGCCAGGAGAAAGTTCACATAGTCTTTTTTTTATTTTATTAAATCAGACTCATTTGTCATCATATTAGATGAATGCAAGAGCTTTTTTCTGGTTTTGGTTGTAAAGTGACGGTGTGTATTTTCCCTGGCGATAGGGGGCAGTTTAGACCTAAATCATGACCTTAACAACGGATGGCCATTAGGGTCACAAATCCCTGGAAGCGCAACTTTCAAAAGAGTACTTTGTCAGATCGTTCAACTTACAGCAAAATGACAAGCACATCAGACTCCCTTTCATCACTGTCAGCGAGTGAAGAGGTTAATGTGTAAAACAACGTTTATGAATGGCGAAGGTTTTGTAATCACCTGTTGGAAATCAAATTCGTTTTGTCCTCATGTGCTCCCGTAGAAGGAAATTTTGCGTCTAATAAGGCGTCGCCCAGGAACCTAGACCCATGTATTTTAAACCAGATTTTTATGGTTATATGTTATGAAGCCGCCAATATTTTTGGCGAACAACTGCGCTTCATTTAATTACCGTAAATCCTCTAATATTAGCCTGTATTTAATTAACTGCCGGGTATCATATTTTGGCCGGTGTCGGGGTCGGCGGAGGTGAATAATGGCCGGTTTTTTATTGTAGCTGGGTGGAATGTGGTAACAAGCAGGTACGGGGGCGGTTGTCATCCGTCTCACTTTTGATTTGCCAGTGATAGACCGCGACGGTAACTTTAACCATGCGGAGACGAAGAGGAGGTGAAAATTTGATATCAAATTCAAAGAGAACGTGCTGATTATGCTGCAGAACACTCTGGGGAGCAGTAGGGGTTGTATGAACTAGTCACTAGTGGACTTCACTGCTCTATAGTGACTTTTTATGCCTGTCATCGACTAGTCGCTGTCACGTGATAATGACCGGCAAGATGCAGTCCACGGAAAAGACAGCAGCCTGCTGTCAGCAGGTGACAGGTGATGCGCCCCGATCCACATCAGCAAAAAGCATCAGGCACAAATAAAAGAATAAAAGACAGAAAACATGAAAGGAAATGAGCCGACATGAACGATCGCGTGTTAAATTAGTTTTTGAGGTGGCGACACCTGATTTGATAATGTTACTGTGGCCGTGCTCAGGACGCAGATGTCTGGAGCGCGTCAACAATCAGAGCTTTGCATGCGCAAGCTGGTTAAGGTTAGGATGGGGGTGAGGGGAAGGTTAAATTGCAAGAGGGTAAACGTCACAATTTGGTTAAATGTCCGTTTTACGGCGGGTGTCAGTACCGACGCTCTGGCACAGCGCGTTGCTTCCCGTGGCCGGCAAGCAGCGAGCACTCCGCTGTTTTTGCGGTCGGTAGATCTTTTAGAACTGCAGTTCAAAGGTAACTCATAAGGTGAATATATATGAACCCAGGTAGCAGTTTTTCTTTAGGATTGAGAGGAAATGCAGGAAGATAATAAACAGACAGGACAGAAAAATAGTCAAATAAAAACAAGTTAGTTTTTGTACCTGGTGGTTGCAACAAACAGACACCATTGAAGGTAATCAGAAGTGAGGAACAGAAAATGAAATAATTATTTTAATGTTTAGAGCAGCAGGAACTCCGAGAGGCTGCAGGCGCATCAGTGAGTTTGCGGCCGCTGCGCAGGGGGAGGGGGGAGAGGGCTGAAGCAGAAACTAGCGTTGTTAAAAGAAATGTGTTTAACTTTGAAAATGTGGGCGCAATTTTAATTGTCAAAAACTCCAGCAAACCATTAGTTCATTTAGCTCAAATAGAAATAGAGGCCTGCCTCTAATTCTGGTCCTCCTTCCAATAAAGGCCTGGAGCTTGATGAGCTTGAGTCAAATACAGACCCCGGCCTGTATTAGAGGATTTACGGTAATTTGACAACATTTCAATGGATTTTTCCAGAGATTAATGGTAAAAACTACACATAGTCTCTTTAACACTGTATTCTTATAGGACAGGGCGATGTTCTCTGAAACTAGTAGTTTACCTCTATTTCCTGCTGGAAAATCACCACACGTCCACCCTTGTCTCCAGTGGCGAGCAGCTCCCCAGTGTGGTTAAACTCAACTGTGGATATGATGTCAGCTGGGGGGGGGGAATAAACAAATAGGGCAATTAAAGGTGCATTGAAGTAAGAATTACATCCTGTGGTCAAATTTGGTTACTGCAGTCCATTTTCCTAAGCAAAAAATATCACTTTTCACCACCGCCATGAGTTTCATTGCTGTTGCCAGCTATGGATCAGCACCAGAAGATTCTAGATGGCAAACAAGTCATACACAGCAAGTTGATAAGTAGATATATACATTGCCATATCTGGTGTTGGCAGACGTGAAGAGCTCTTCTCTTCTTTGATAGTGGCTCACCTGCATCTGGTAGCAAAAATATATTACACCCATGCACAGCGAAAGGACGTGAGCTCAGCTGGCAGTTAACTGGGCAAAACTATTTAACCCAGTTACAACATAAACGGCAATTAACCAGTAAACCATGTACATCCCTACTAGCTACACATAGCTAAATGTTGTGAGGACAGCATTCGCTTACTATACCACACAACAGTTTTGACAAATCCCAATCTGGTTTTCGCAAAAAGCATTCAACAGAAACAGCTTTTCTTAAAGTTTCCAGTGACATCATGATGGCTGCAGACAATGGGGAATTCACATTTAGTATTGTTAGATCCTTCTGCAGCTTTGGACACTGCTGATCACAGCACCTTAATTAACAGATTTCATGACTCGATTGGGATCTCTGGAACTGTTCTAGGCTGGTTTAGATTGTACACTTCTAACAGAAGTTACAGTGTCTGTATAAACCAAATTATGTCAGATTCTACCGATCTGTTTTGTGGGGTACCCCAAGGCTCTGTTTTGGATCCACTGTTGTTTCTACTGTACATACACCCTCTTGGACAGAAAACGTATTCTTTTCATAAAGTCTCTTATAACCTAAACTTACCTAAAGGATTATTAGGAATGCCATACTAATACGGTGTTTGACCCCATTTTGCCTTCAGAACTGCCTTAATTCTATGTGGCATTGACTAAGCAAGGTGCTGAAAGCATTCTTTAGAAATGTTGGCCCATAATGATAGGATAGCATCTTGCAGTTGATGGAGATTTGTGGGATGCACATCCAGGGCACGAAGCTCCCGTTCCACCACATCCCAAAGATGCTCTATCGGGTTGAGATCTGGTGACTGTGGGGGGCCGTTGTAGTACAGTGAACTCATTGTCATGTTCAAGAAACAATTTTGAAATGATTGGAGCTTTATGACATGGTGCAGTATCCTGCTGGAATTAGCCATCAGTTGATGGGTACATGGTGGTCATGAAGGGATGAACATGGTCAGAAACAATGCTCAGGTAGCCCGTGGCATTTAAACGATGCCCAATTGGCACTAAGAGGCCTAAAGTGTGCCAAGAAAACATCCCCCACTCCATGACACCACCACCACCAGCCTGCACAGTGGTAACAAGGCACGATGGATCCATGTTCTGATTCCGTTGACGCCAAATTCTGACTCTTCCATTTGAATGTCTCAACAGAAATCGAGACTAATCAGACGAAGCAACATTTTTCCAGTCTTCAACTGTACAATTTTGATGAGCTCGTGCAAATTGTAGCCTCTTTTTCCTATTTGTAGTTGAGATGAGTGGTACCCGATGGGGTCTTCTGCTGTTGTAGCCCATCTGCCTTAAGGTTGTGCGTGTTGTGGCTTCACAAATGCTTTGCTGAATTCCTCAGTTGTAACGGGTGGTTATTTCAGTCAAAGATGCTCTTCTATCAGCTTGAATCAGTCAGCCCATTCTCCTCTGACCTCTAGCATCAACAAGGCTTTTTCGCCCACAGGACTACTGCATACTGGATGTTTTTCCCTTTTCACACCATTCTTTGTAATCCCTATAAATATTTGTGTGTGAAAATCCCAGTAACTGAGCAGATTGTGAAATACTCAGACCGGCTCGTCTGGCACCAAAAACCATGCCACTCTCAAAATAGCTTAAATCACCTTTCTTTCCCATTCTGACATTCAGTTTGGAGTTCAGAAGATTGACTTGACCAGGACCACACCCCTAACTGCATTGAATCAACTGCCATGTGATTGGTTGATTAGAAAATTGCATTAAGGAGAAGTTGAACAGGTGTTCCTAATAATCCTTTAGGTGAGTGTATATGCAGATGGCATTCAGCTGTACTGCTCCTTTAAGGATTCTGAGTTCTACAAACTGTCTGAATTACTAGAGTGTCTATCAGCTATCACCAGCTGGCTAGAAGATAACTTCCTCCAGTTAAACTCTGAAAAAACTGCATGTCTGATCATTGCCCCCGAGAGCATGGTTCCCCTGATTAGTATTAAACTTGATCATTAATCCTCTGCTGTCAAGACAAACAAGGAATTTGGGTGTTGTTTTTGACCAATCAAGGTCTCTTGAAGGCCACTCAAAAACATTGGTCCGAAACTGTTTTTACCACTTAAGAAATATCTCCAAACTGTGAAGGTTGGTGTCAAAACATGAACTTAAAATGGTTATCCATGCCTTTATCTTCTCCAGTCTAGATTACTGTAACACACTTTTCACATGTTTTAACAAAAAAGCCCTGGACCGCCTTCAGTTGGTCCAGAACTCTGCAGCTCCCAGCTGGAGCAAACAGAAGAGCACACATCACTCATATTCTAATGTCTCTGCACTGGTTACCCGTTAACTTTAGAGTTCATTTTAGAATCCTGACTATAACTGTCAATGCTCTACATGGTCAAGCTCCTCCCTATATTACTGAGCTGTTAAAGCCTTACGCTCCAACCCGAGCACTCAGGTCCACACACCAGAACCTTCTAGAAGTTCCCAAGGCCAGATATAAAAGTCGAAGTGATCGCTTTTCAGACTGTTGCACCCTGACTTTGGAATGATCTTCCTTTATCCTTATGTAGTATTGACAGTCTGTGGACACTTTTAAAAAACAGCTAACGACCCATTTGTTTAAAGCTGCTTTTAACTAAATCTTTTATTTTTTTTTACTCAAATTTGTAATCTTTCATCCGTTTATGAAAAATGTATAATTTTTTTACTATTTTTTTCTGATGTTAATTTATTTCTGTTTTGAGAGCATTATGGTTTTATGACTTTGTTTTGATCTATGTGAAGCACTTTGTGATTTTATGTCTGTGATAAGTGCTAAATAAATAAAATTTACTTAGTTAATTTCTACTAAAGTTGTGCCAAATAAACTAAAATATTTACAAAACTTTACCTCAGATGTGTCCTTTTTATATTTTGAAAGGGAGCAGAAGTAGCTGAAGAGTTTGATGTATAATATGTGTCTGGTATGAAAAAGTTGGGTTATCAAAAGACTGACAACCAATAATGATAATTTTCCCATATTAAATGTTAATGCAGATATGGGCCGATATAAATGGCAGAATAATAATATCAGACATCCCTACTTATTATGGTAATACTTCTCCAGCACTGGAGGAAGTGTGGTTGTCTGCCATCTTACTGTTATAAACAACTCATTGAAAGAAGTATAATGCCACGAATCACTCATTCACTTCGCACATACATTTCAATGTAATATCGAGTTGTTGGTAGGGTTGCAGGGATTAACTGGTTTGACCAAAAACCACGATTAACCCCCCGTAAAATGTCTCCAACGTGGCCTATAAAAAAAAAGACAATAGCGCAACCCGAATGGACAAAAACAAAAGTGAAACTGAACGCATGCACACATGCAACAGAAGCAGAACCAGTGACGACAATCATCGGGACTGTTCCATTTCCATCTAGGAAGCGCTTGAAGTCTCCTGCGTGGGAATATTACATTTGGTAATTGAAAATGTAGCTTGGGGTATTTTTAGAGCTGACAATTTGCATCTAATTCACATTTAGCATTGTCAGCTTAACATTACTCAAATAGAGTAAAACAAAAAAAATGGTGTGGTTGCATAGGGGTACAAAAAATTCTGAGTCACTTTTGATTACTGGCTTCAGTTCTTTTAAAAATTCTACAGCTTTTTTCCTGCTGGAGTTGAATTACGAATCTCGGTGATGCAACGTTGCAGCTCACAGGAAACGCAGCAACCTTACACTCACTGAATGTAAACAGCATGTTTAGACTTTTGAAAGGACCAACTTCCGCTAGTCTTTGGCGGAAGATCAGTGAACCCTCACACTAACTATTAGACACTCCTATAAAAAAAATACCTTACATACACAAGCGAGTGTGCGCACACAGGTGCTCACATGGTGCTCTCACAAGTATGGACCTGGGCATTTTAACACATAACCTAAGTCTGCGGTTGGTATTAAATGCCCTGTGAATTATTACTGCGTGCTTTTCAGCAAAAAGCGTTACTGTTATATATCTTCTGTTGTTGGCGCAGTGATATTTTGGTCCTGTTGCATTTTTTGTGTGCCCTCTTTTTTTCTCTTGCTCTTCTTCTGCAGGTCTAGAAGCAGATAATTGTACATTCTTTATTTTTGTGAAAAATGTTCCCCCCACTTCTGCCTTTACGTCTCCATGTTTGTTGGGATTTAAAACAACCGAATACATTTCTAATAAAGTTTTGATATCAGGCGTGGCATTATAGCGGAGTGAACACAGACCTGTGTGTTTCATAACCACATAAGAGAAAATCTTCTCCCGTTTCCTGTGGAGCTTGTGGGAAACACTGGTTATAGATTCACTTGCAACTTCTGCCATTTCAAAACTGCAGCTGAGGCTTAACACAGAAGACCTAAAGAACATCAACACACCGGTTTTGTGGGACCAAATAGATAAAAACGAGAGCAGCCAAACACCTAATTATAGCTTGTTTTGAACTCTACTCATTCATATGAAGGGTTCTCTGCAGGATTGAGTCTTTTTATCACCAGTGATTAAGTACATGGAGTTTTCATAAAATGTTAGCATGTTTTCAAATGAATGAGTCTTAAATTTGGAGCAAAAGCGAGAAGTTAATATTATCTGGACTTCTATGTTCAGCACCCAGTCTGATAAATCTCTGAATGTAGATGACTTTTGTCCACTACATATATTGAAACTTTTTTTATTGTTAAACATTTAAGAATAGCATATTTTTAATTAGACAAACCTTCTGCTACGTCATCATCAATGGCTCCTTTCACCTGAGAGAAGCACCACTGCATGTCGCCTCCAGATCCTTTAGAAAGAAAAAATAAATAAATGAAGACATGCCTCAAAATAACATGTTTACTACATCTACCTGACGATGCTTACAAACAAACAATTGCACAAACAGAGCCAGCAGCAATAAAGCAGAAATCCAGGGTTTTGATCTCAGAGGGCACCCTCTAGGAGGTTGAAGAAATGTATTGCACCTTCAGCCCCTCTCCCTACTTTCAGATTTACAGCTAGAAGCGATTCTTCATGTTCTTCAATGTGCACCTCTAGCCAGCCAACAGAGCTAAAACACGTCATTTTACAAATACTATTCTGAGGTTAAGCTGTTTATTCATATATTAAACAAATACACAGTACAGGCCAAATGTCTGGACACACCTTCTCATTCAATGTGCTTTCTTTATTTTCATGACCATTTACTTCGGGAGATTCTCACTGAAGGCATCAAAGCTATGAATGAACACATGTGGAGTTATGTACTTAACCAAAAAAGGTGAAATAACTGAAAAAATGTTTTTTTTTTTTTTTTTAAATAGCCACCTTTGCTCTGATTACTGCTTTGCACACTCTTGGCATTCTCTTGATGAGCTTCAAGAGGTAGTCACCTGAAATGGTTTTCCAACAGTCTTGAAGGACTTCCCAGAGGTGTTTAGCACTTGTTGGTCTCTTAATAATTTGTTTTTAATCTAATTGTCATTAAGAAAATATTTCCAATTCTGCATCAGATTCATCTTCAAACGCTCACCCACTCTGTGATTAAAATCTATAAGTAAGCAGATGTCTATGCTGTTGCTTAATGATGAGCGGTGGTCAATTAAAATTGCACGGGAATCGATGGGGGGGGGGGGGGGGTGGGGGGGGGGGCAGGTTACACACACACATACACACAAACTCATGACAACTCTGAGGGGGGTGAATATTTTCTCACTCTTCTGTTTAAGTGTATCAAAAGCCTAAAATTCTATATAATTAATGAGCATTAGACCCACGTGACCACAGAGCTAGCTCCGTGGAAAGGCATCAGTAGAGCCTCGGTCTGGCTTGGAAACTGTTCCAGGATTTTGAGTCTCTGTGTGTGTGTGTGTATTCTTGTTTGGGTGGTATTTGTGCAATTGTTGGACAAAATGACTTGATGTGGCATTAATTGCACTAATAGAGCATCCAAGGAGTTTCCACTTCATTTTTTCGGTAAGTAAAATTATATTTATGTATTTTAGGTCACTGCCGAGCTGAGCTTAGATTTTAACATGTACTGCTTAACCATGAAATTTAAATGTAATAGGGTAAAACCCAGTGCATTTAACATAATGCTGCACTTTAGAAAATGGGTTGAAATATAACATGTTGGTGGAGCTGGGTTCCGACTATCGTCTTGTGGAGCTCTCGAGAGACCGATGTTATCCACCCTTTTCCCCTCCCCGCAGCCCGGTCCATCTCTGTCTGATCGCAGCTTCTGTTTGCTGCGCGGGCTGACAGCTTGTGGAGCTCTGGGATGGAAACCTTTCCACCCGGTTCTCCCCAGCAGCAGATCTGCACATCTCAGATCGCAGCGGCGCTTGTCTGCTGTGCGGCTGCCGGCTTGTGGAGCTCTCGGGAGACCTCTGTGTTCCACCAGGTTCTACCAAGCGGTCAGCCCGGCGTATCTCTGACTCAGAAGCTCTGGTGTTGTGCACAGTTAACTCCTGTTGTAGCTAGGTTGCTACCTCCGTTAGCTTAGCTCCCACCTCCGCATTAGCTTTGGGTTAGCTTCAGGTTAGCTTGTAGCTAGTTCGACCGGGTGTCGTCAGTTGATCCCAGCCTTACAGCTCCACCCTCAGCTCCACCTCTCTTCCCTTTTGTGGAATTGTCTGGGCTTGACGGAACCTGTGACACGGTCAAAATGGCGGTGGTGGCCACCTCCCATTTTAGCAGAAAAACTTGTTGGAAACCCATTGTCCATATATGTATGTCGATGATCACAGTACAGGGTAAAACTATCACTTTTACAGATTTCTAAGAAATCAAATACAATTCCTGAAAGGGGGAAAACTCCAGATTGCTGCATTAATGGCTTTCCTAGTTATCTAAAAATACTACTAGTAAAAAAAAAAAAAAAAGAAGGTATATTTAAGAAAAATCGTTAGACTCCGATTACATTTTTTTTTTAGCATTTTCTCAATTAGAGCACATCAATAGGTTTGGCTCCTGCTTTATAATAAATTAATAAATAAAATTAGTCAGCAGGATGAAAACATAATGCACTCAGCATTAAATCTGTTTTTATTTCAGTAGAGATGTACATTATTATTATTATAATAACCTTCAAACATTGAGAGGTTCTGGTTTAGTAGTTGTATATTCAGTTAAGCTGCTGCATTTGCCCGGGGCTATTTTTGTGAGGTTTAAAGGGAAGTTATGTCTGTTTACTGTCCGAATGGTAGTCCGACTCATTAAATCAAATACTCGTACTATTCCAGTACTATGAGGTACACACACTCACACACACTTAAAACCTCTACAACCTGGAAAAAGTAAGCGGACTAAAACTGGGACATTTTTCTTTTTTTCTCTCCAAAAAACCATGGCTAAAAGTTAGATGACTGTTTTAGCTGTGTCATAGCAACAGTAGTGGGTAAGCTAGCTGAGGGAAGAGATACTTCATATTACTCAAGTAAAAGTAAAATGTAATAAAAATATGCTCAAAAGGTTACATAAGAAAATGTAACTAGTTACTACCCACCAAGTAAATGTAACCAGTTACTACCCACCTCTGCATAGCAAGAGGATGACTAGTTGTAAAATTTTCTCTCGTCCTAATGACTTTCCTTCCTCATGTTGTGCAGATGGAGGCCATCTTTAAAACTATTTCTTCTTAATACCAACAGAATTTAGAATACAGCCAAACTAAAGGTTTGGTTTTTCTCTGAATCACTTATCAGGCTTTGCTGCCTCACTCTTACCTCACAATAAACACAGATTTAACTGAAAAATTAAAAGCAAGCTAAAACGTGACTAAACTTGTCTTTAGACTGTGCATATTTGCAAGCTGAGCAAATAAATAGAAAGCCTTTGTTTCAACACATTTAGGATATGTGAAATGATACTGGAGCTACAAACAGGTGGCAGGCCTGTTGCAAACACTTTTGAGGCCAGAGGTGTGTGCATGTACCCGTCAGCAACCTTTGCAAGCCTTGGCATTGAAACAAAAATGCATACCTTGATATCGCCATACTAACGTTAAAATATACTTCATGATTATGACACGTGATCCTAAATCGTGGACATAACGAATCCAGTTTGCCATAAAATAAATGACGTCAGTCACCATGAGACATGCATCTTTTAGACATCGTTATGTAACAGTAGACGCTGTGATCCCTGTTAAAAATACAAGACTGTCCACATCACTTTCTTTTTCTTTTAAACAAAAATGTAATCCTGCTGCAGGAATTTATTGAAAATGTACAAAAATTGTAAAGCAAAAACAGACACTGTACAATCGTAATCAACACTTGGAACGGCCACTTTTACTTCCAAACAACCAGAACTTAATAGAGTAAATTTTATTAAAATGTCATCAGGTCAGAATTGAGATACTCCATAAACTTCAAAGACTCATGTTTACATGTTGACTGCCTTTTTTGCCTTTCTGTGAAATTATTTCACGCTGCATCAAAGCTTTTGTCAACCACGTGCTGCATTAAAATGCTGAGGTCTTTCTATGTAAAAGACATTGACTTGGGTTTTAAAATTGTCCCAGTATCACTGACTGAAGTACATGGTATTGTACTTCAGCTAATTACAACAAACACAGAAACACACGCTGGGGTGTAAACAGACAACTCAACACGGTCAATGAGAGCAGATTCAGTCTTGCAAGTTTTTGCACATGATCATCTGTTATTTATTACACAACAAAACCTGGTCTGTCTGGTTGTTAAATAGTTCCACATCTACGGAAATAAGCCCTGCAGAAGATAATTGGGATACTTATGAATCACTCTAAGTCCATAATATACAATTTCAGAGAGAGGAAGCAAGACAAGTTTGTACTGGTCAGAACATGATGTAGCCTAACACAGAAACCACCACCAACAATGACATATACATATATTTTAAATGGTTTTAGTATAATGTCGGATTATATCGTGCAGTAACCTTTTTTAAACAACGTATTCAAACTGAATGCAAAAAATGCAGTTAATTCCCTCCAATCTTTGGCTCTAAGCAAATCACTCACACTAACCTGGGAGTGCACACCCTTCTCTCTCCACCTTCACAAACCGGCTCAGCTAATGAATGCAATGCAATGCAAGCAAGACAAAATAGGGTCTTGACACTTTAATGCAAAGGGCCAATCTTCATTTTCTAATAACTGAACACGATCCGTGTCTTTTATTGGTGCTTTTAAACAGAAACCGCACCGATTGGCAGCTCGGTGTGCAGCAGCGGGCCTGGAGAGCTAGCATGAAGCATGTGGGCAATGTCAAAGTTTACGCTAAAGCTAACCTCGTCTGGGTTGTCACGTTAGCTGCTGCATGTTTGAGAGAACTAGAACGGTGCGTACACCGCCACAAAAATCTCCAGATGTGGGGTCTCAGCTAATGCAAAGCATTTTTATTAAATCGCTGGTCAGGTGGGACCGGTGCACCCGTCTGAATGAGAAGCGCCCTGCAGCTACGGCAACTCCCAGGAACTGGAGAGGTGTTTGCTAAAACGGTATTTAGTTTGCTAAATTCTAGTCCCGACGATTCAGTTACCAGCGACCGCTTGCAAAAAGAAGCTGGCTAGGGATTTTTAACCGGTAACGACAGACGGGAGGTGGTACTTGTTTCTGGTGGCTAGCAACAGCTAACGCGGCTAAGTTTGGGTAGCTAGTTAGCTAAGGTTAGCCGAACACACAGTCGGCTGCTATAATCCTGCAGCTACTGAGATGGAGAGCTCGCGTTGGGACAGAGGATGGGTGTAGCCCACTCTAGTAACACCGTAGAGTACTAGTAAGTATAAATTACCTGCCATGCCGAGACAGACAGTGGAGCTTGCCTCAGTCAGTCACGATTCTGCTCCCCACTCCCACGCGTTGATTCGTGGGATCTGAACTTTTTCTTCCTGTCACCGTGTGCGCAAAGACGGTATGTTGGGCATTGAATGAAGCGTATAAACAGATATGTTATTTCCCGCTGTTCCTCCTGCTGTTGTCTTCCGCGTGCCACACGCTTCTCCGTTCCTGGCTGTGTTGCCGCCGCCGGCTTCTTCACATCCCACAAGTCATTTCTTCTTCCCCACCCTACTACAAGCTCTTAGCCGTTGGGTCACACGCAAGCTACGTATATGTCTACGAAATTGCATTGCTGCAGTACTTTTATTTTGAAAATTACCAGGGATTTTACACTGAAAAAGTGTGATTTCCTGACTAGCCCTAATATAACTATGGAAATTGACGTATCCCAGAAGCGGCTCTGAAATTTGGTTTGCAACACTTCATTGACTAATGGATTCTGTTTGAAGCTGTGATGCTCTGCTGCCATACTGCGCCTTTGATGCTTTCAGTGTGAAACTGGAGTAATGGGAAGCACGTGTCAACTACTGATCTTCTGAGTTTATGTAGTCTCCCTCAAAGAGCTCCACAGGTGAAAACAGTCTAAGATCACAACAACTCCAAGGTTGTCTTTATTAATCCCCAAGGGGGAAATTGAATTGCCTTGGACAAGTAAACACAACATGCACATCCACACAATAAAACATTCACTGGTCCTGATAAAATATAAAAATATCAAATATACAATCATACGAAATGGTCATTGTAAAAACGCACTGCAGCTGGAATAAAAGAGTTCCTAAAACGTTCAGTGGAGCACCGGGGCATTAACATTCGCCCACTGAAAGAGCTCCCGAGATCCTTAAAAATGTGGTGAAGGGGGTGATCCTCCAGAGTCATAACTGTCTTAAGTTTACGCTTCATCCTTTTGTCTATGATCATGTCAAATGAGTCCAAGCGTTGCCCAACCACTGAGCCAGATTTCTTGATCATTTTGTTGATCCTGTTTTTGTCCTCAGCAGTGAGGCTCCTGCCCCAACACAACACAGCATAAAACAACACACTGGACATAATCCCCTGATAAAACACATTCAAGAGCCTCCTACTTATATCAAAGGATCTTAGCTTCCTAAGAAAAAACAATCTGGACTGGGCCTTTTTAACAACAGCATCACTGTTCCTTTTCCAGTTTAACTTATCGTCGAGGTACACCCCGAGATATTTATATGTCTCCACAGTTTCTACAGGTTGGCCTTTGATGACCACTGGAGAGAATGTTTGTTTTTTCTTTCTAAAATCAATAACCAGCTCCTGTGTTTTGCCAATATTGAGCTGTAAAAAATTTGCATCACACCATCCAACAAAGGAGTTAACTTCCTCCCTGTAAGCCAGGTCGTCACCCCGGGAGATCAGACCCAGTAGGGCAGTGTCATCAGAGAACTTCTGTAAGTGACAAGATGGTAGACTGTGCCTATAGTCAGCTGTGTACAGTGTAAATAAAAATGGAGCTAAAACTGTCCCCTGTGGTGCACCAGAGTTCGTAAAAATCAAGTCCGAGCACTTACCCCCAGCTCTCACAAACTGAGCCCTGTTTAAGAGATAGTCTAAAATCCAGGCAGTGGTGGAATTGTGTAGCTTAAAATCCAATAAATTATTTCCTAAAATATGGGGCTGAATGGTATCAAAAGCACTAGAAAAATCAAAGAACATAAGTCGCACTGAACTGCTGGCTTTTTCAAGGTGTTTATAAATAATGTCCAGCAGATACAGAAGGGCATCATCCACACTCACACCCTTCCTATATGCAAATTGCAAGGGGCCTTGGAAGGAAACAACTTGTATATATGCATTTAAGGACGACTCTCTCAAAACATTTCATTAAATGTGATGTCAACGCAATAGGCCTAAGATTGGACAACGTACAGCTGACACCTGTTTTCTTAGGGATCGGCACAAGACAAGAGGTTTTCCACATTACAGGTATTTTGGCAGCAGACAAGGACAACACTGATCATAAGACTCCTGGAAATATTGGAACCTGATCTGCCTCTCAACTGTCTATAGAGGATTCTGAAGACGTCTGGATATTCGTGGTGTTGGTGTTGGGATTCCTGCAGTTTGGCCTGAGCGGTTACCTGGCTTAGCGGAAAATTAATGAGCTTTCGAGGAATATTGGCTCAATCCCAGAGCTCAGGGATGGATTACACCACGCTGTGAATGCACAAACTCATATAATTGTCGAGATGAGTCGTAAGCTTGGAACTTTGGCTGACGTTCAGGCTCTGGCACAGAAGGTTGAGTCGATCAAGGAGCGAGTTGACGGGACAGCACGGTTGGGAATAGATTAATTTACACCATTATTGGATCTAGAAGGGTTGGAGACCAACATAACTTTAAGACAGAGAGGAAATTATCTCTGTCTGGCCCCAAAACAAGTTCTTATCTGAATCTGGTGCCCTTGAGCCTGTGAGGCTGAAGTGATTACTCCCCCTCAGAAGAAATGTGGAATGCTGCCATCACCATGGCAACTCTGTCTCCCTATCCCAGCCTGGGCGGGACTGTGACCGGTGAAGGCCGTGGAACCATTTCCAGGAGTCACTGTGCTTTCTAACCCAATTACCTCCCTCCCCTGTCCAAACGGAGGTGACGAGCGCTGCTCATTGCAGCTACATGCACTGATGTGAGGAGAGTCCCCAACCCTACCTCCCCACCCAGCGGACACTTATGTTGTGTAATGTCTGAAGTCTGTTGCATTTCTGTCAGAGGTGTTTTTTGCATAGCAAAGCTGCCATCCCTGTGGAGGGTAACTCTGAAGTGCCTTTTTTTCCTCCACTTGACTCAATCCTCATAGCCTAGTGAACTAGACCAAATTCTTGCTTTGCAAAGTTTGGTCTAGGAACGCTCCACTGGAATCTCTGCAGCCCCTAACAGCATTCTGGCTGGCCAATCACAGCTCTCTAGAGGGGTTTCAAACACATAAAGAGCTGTGATTGGTCCATAATGGTGGGCCAATCATAGTGCTCTATCTGCTTAGTGAACAAATCACAGAGCTTTATACGCTTTGTGGGCCAATCAGGGCACTCTATATGCCTGGTGGGTGGGATGATGCAACAGAGTGAAACAAGATGGCGACAGCTCGTTTGAAACTGCTTTTACATCAATTTTGGACTATTAGAACTTGGGCTGAGAAAAGTGTATAAAGCATGTAGTGAGGGTTTTTTACAGTCTAAACATCTGTAATAATTGTAAAAAAAATAAAGTTGGTTACTTCATGGATTTCACCTACCGCGGGTAATTTTTAGAACGTAACTCCTGCAATAAACGAGGGACTGCTGTATTATTAATAGTAGAGTCTGGGACATCTAATTGATTAACATCAACATTGATTATTATGCACTATTATTTTTGTTCAACGGTGATAAAGTCCTAATGTCTTCATGATAGTTCCTTTTTCCCCCCCCATCTGAGCATCGGGGAAAAGGCTGTCTTGCAATTGTTGAGGTCACTAGTGTGTGCCCCATTTCTTCCAGGATCACTCTCTATATAGGTTTTAATGGACTCCTAGTACTGTGAAGTGGTTCCATGGTACAAAGGCATTGTATTCCAAGATCTGGGAGACTGTAGAAATGAGCAGTGATGCCCTTCCTACCATCTTTCCAGAAAAATAAGTGATCTGGAAGCTGTTAGGCTTATTTACAGCAGGAGCACTTTCTGCACCTGCATAAACTCCAGGACACATTTACTAACAGTGTTTGTTGCTGTATGTGCTGCAGCTTTGAATTTTTTAATAATATATATTTTGTTAATATTTTGGTTATGCTGTCTTGTTATGAAGTGTACAAGGGTAAAAGTGTTTTTAGCATGTGCTTCAAAGCTAAGTTTGACTGGGAAACTCAAAGCTCAATAGTCTGTATCAACAGAAATTCACTGCAGTCTATGTAATATTTGATGCGTCATAATTTATTCTACTCTATCTTGCAAATACATATTTGTGTGGCAATGTCATGCACAACACACACAACTATTAGATCCTTAAGATCAAACCCGTGTCATTCTTTTGGTCCACTGCAGTGCAGCAGTCAAAAAAAACTTTACTGTTAATATCAACAATTAGCTTTTTATTTTGAAATTACAAGTATAAAAAATGCTGTTACATTTACATTTAATGCTGTTACACTGTAATCCTTTCTTATAAGTATGGACATAGAATCAAGTGAACAACATTTTGAAATAAGTTTAATTGGAATTTTGTACTATAAAAAAACAAAACAAAAACAACAACGACATATTAAACAAACAAACACAGTCAGTGCCTTCATTTGTCCATTACATGTCAAACATAGCACTGACCCTTAGTCCCTGCTCATCAGCACATGCTTTCAAAAAGAGCTCCATGTCCTCTGCAAACTGAAAAACAAAGAGGAACATGTCCCTTGCTGCTCCAGTGTCTTCTTCCTCTGACATGTCTCTTAAGACCCTCTGCTGGTCCCCTTGATTTAAGGACAGATATTTTGGCATTGTTACGTGTCCACGGAAAAGTGCCTTATTTTGGACAACCCACTGCACAGCAGGACGCAGATCTTCAACAACTGCTGGCTCCTGTGTCAGGCAAATGGAGATAAAAACACAGCTATTTCTCTGTTGCAGAACAGTGTTTTAACAGTTATTCAAATGTCACTAACCATGTAATTACACTACTGTTTAAAGTGAATACTGACCTGACTGACTTCCTGGAACTTGCGCTTTTTCAGTCTGAAAATGGGCACGTGTTGTCCTTCAAGCACAGCTTTGGCTTCCTCTCTCCAGTGTGCAAATAGCTTGCCAGAGCTTAACAGAAAATTTTGATATTGTTAAGGTGTGTAAACTTTGACACAACATAGAACAGAAGTCAAAATATAAATACCTCTTGAGATCAAAGTTCTCCATCAACAGCAAGCACCACCATTTACGCAAGTAGGGCATGTCTGACTAAGATATTAATATGAAACATTTAACAACTTTCAAAAGATTCAAGACTCCATTGCTGTGAAAGTAAATAAAATACATACTATTGTATAGTCAAATGGTGCATCCAGTGCCACGTACAGAGCAGACTATTTGGAAGAAAAAATAAAAATGTCATTTTTTTAGAAGCTTAAATTAGCTTCTGCATGAATCTCAAGAAGAGAAGAGAAAAATTACCATCAGCATGAAGATCCCACAGTCAACTCCGTAGTCTTGGCTTGGAAAACCCTGTATTACATTGAAAATAAAGGCTCGTTAATAAAATCCTTTAAAAGAAGACTAGTGTAATTCATATTATTCACCATACACTTAAACTAGCACATACCTTCAAGTCAAAGCTCTTTTTTGCTGACCACTGCCCGGGAATGAGCTTCACTGCAAGATTCCTTTTTTTCAAGACAGTTACATTCACAAGTTAACAGACATCATCATGATGGGTGTGAAATGTTTATTGCTAATAGCACCAACTGTAACTACAGGTCTTAGGAACATGACCTCAACAAAACAGCATAACAAAATGAAAAAGTACAGTCACATGCTCACAGCTGGTCAAAATAAAGCATTTTCAGCTTTAATTTGAGGTTGGCATATTTTATAAACTAATATTTAATGGTGTTTTATGTTAAACTAAAACGTTTGAAGACCCTATTTATGTCTAAAACTCATCTAAAGACAGCATCACTAACTTGATTAGAATGTGAAGATGAGAAATAGAATAAAATGTTGAAGCATCGTGCTGATATAGTTTATAAAAAAGCATGTGAGTGTACTGTATGTGTGAACACTCAAGATCAGCAGAACATGATCATGCACTTAACCTGGAACACTGAACAGGTTCCCGAATATTCTGGAACAAACCAAAAATGCTTATAAAAATGTGACCTCAAAAGTGAAACATATTGTTGGCCACCAAATCCTGCCTTTGTGTGTAATGGGTCAAGAAAGAGGATTTCTCTTTTAGGTGGCTTCAGTACCTAAAAGACAGTTAGCCATGACTTCAAACCTGAAAACGATGTCATTGCAAGCGATCGCAATCAAAGATGTTTGAAACTGCGTCATAAAAGCTTGAATACATCTCAGACGCATAGCAACATTCTAACAGTTTGTACGTGTCAAAAAACAAGACTTACACACAACTGGAAATGACCAGGTGTCCAGAGAGGGAGAACTATGATGTCCATCCTCTGAGCATCAGTCTGAAACAGAATTTTATTTTGAAGTATTCTGTATATGAACTCTCACCAAAGTTATAAAAAAATAATCTTTTTGATTACTTGCTTGTTTCTTTAAAGGACGGTACACTTACAGGAAAGGACTGCAATGGATCACAGCCATAGGGTGCAAGCCAAGTCCGGGTGACATACAGATTTTCCATGTAAACGCTTATCCCCTAGAATGTAAAACAGCACATTTAAAACAACAACTCTTTAAATTAAAGCTTGACAATCATCCTATACAACATACAGTACCTTTGACTGAACAATTTTAGTGATAAGCTCAAAACAGCCATTTGCAGTCTGAAACAGAAAAAATCATAAAAAAAAATTAAAGTACACTTTATTATTTCATATTCATAGAAACAAAATACTTACAGTCGATTCCATTTCTTTGTTTAAACCCAGTGTCCAAAAATCTGCCCGCGTGAGACATCCAGAAGACGTTTCAACAATCAGCTCATCTTTGGGTCTGCTGATGTCCAGAACATAGTTGAGCTAAAAAAAACAGAGAGGTGTTATAGACTGTGGATGACAAAATCAGATAAGCACGTTGCACTTTGCGACATCTGAAAACTTTGACATACAAGCTGTTGTTGGCCAGGGTGCGGTACGAAACACCACGATGAACGGCTGGCCAAAATGTTCTCAGGCTTTGTCAGAGCTTCGCACGGTGGTCCACACAGGTCAGGAAACGTTGCATCTGTTGACCTTCTATTGGCTTTCTTGTTGTCAACTCCTTCCTGAGGATCTGTAGGGACTTTAACAGTTTTCAGACAAAACACTCAATAGAATGCATATTAAATGCATACAAATGCAAGAAAAAAAGCACTGTTTACAGACGGAAATTCATTTGAAACAGCACGTAACAAGTTCGTTTACGAGCCCGCAACTACAACAAGATAATGAATGCAAGATTATTATTTCACCTATATATGACAATCACTATTCAAAATAAGAAATTTTACCATTGTCACCAGACATTGAAGGTGCTGGGTTCAACACCGTTTCTGTGGTTTCTCTTGGTTTATTGCACACCTGTGGGGCTAGGTACACAAAGAAAACAATATAAACACTCACACAGATAGGAACAAATCTAACATGTGAACAATGGTAGCGTTCTGGTCATGAGACAATGCATGTACTTACCTACGACAGCTTGACCCAGTGCCGACAATGAGATATTGATCTTTCCAAGTCGACGTTTCACTTCGAAAGAGCTGTTTCTGATGATCCATTTTCTGTGAGATGACATTTTCTGGAAGAGATACAGGAATTTTTTTCTCTTTTAAAATATAGCGTATACTCCTTTCGACAGCAGCATTGTCCTCAAAGGAAGAACTCTCCTGAGTCATCTGTGATGGGGTGCCTGATGATAGTGGTACAGTTGATTTGATGATGTCTCTCTGTGTCTGGAAGAGATGCCACTTAGCTATGTTTTTATGAGGACATGATATTCGTGGCTTTGCACAAGCGCAATGCCAGGTGTTCCTCAGAGCATTGTAAGTCACAAATATTCTGCCAAGATGGCAGAAACTGTGTAGTTCCGGCTCAAATACAGACAAACAGATCTGTGTTGAGGATCCACCAAAATCCACCCTCACACAAAGTGGAGCATGTACCATCTGGGAAGCTTTCTGTCTCTTTATGCATGTAGCAGCTTTGGCCTCTCCAAATAATTTAAGGTCCACCGTTTCCATCACGATGTGCTCTTGAAGAAAAACCTCCTTCACAGTTTCTCGGCAGTAATCTAGTGAGCGAAGGTGCTCACATAAACTGAAGCCTAGTCCGCTCCGCTGGGCCAGCAACTGGTATTGCTGACATTCCTCCAGCTCACATCAGATATTGTGAGACATCCCCCATGTTTTCCTCTGAACGTGAACTGGCACAGAAAATCCACAGCCAGTTCTCTGCACAGCAAATAACCCTGCAGTTTCATCTACACAAACACACTGCAGATGGCTGGCCAGGCAAACATCTATTGACTGGTTGGAGTGCTTCCTCATCAGGTGAGCCTTGTAGTTTTTGGTACGAAGAGTAAGGCCACAGTGAGGGCATGTCGTTTTCATGGACTTTCCATCAGCTGCAGTTTTATTGAACACAGAGGGTAGAGCATATGAATGTTCTACCAAAGATTCAGAAAATGGTTCAGATACCGAAGACAAAACCTTGGGGGGGAGACGGGGCTCCTCGAAGTGTACTGCCGGAGGAATACGGGTCTCCTCGGAGAGTTCAACGGGGAGCAGTCCTGATAATGGTGGCTGACTTGGCATTGAAGAATGCTGACAAGACAATAAATGCTTTGCCATATCCCCACGCCGTATGATTGTAATCTTACAGACAGGGCAGTGAAAGTGTCCTGTTGTCCTACAAGGCAGCCTGCACCTGCATATCATTGTATCTGTAGGAGAAAACAAACAAACAGATGTAATTTAAATGTAGTTGTATAGAATGCAATCAATTTATCTAACAATCAGATTGTACATGTTAACAAAAACATCCAAGCCAACCTCAATAATGAAAGCAAAATGGTATGGATCACAAAAGTTATGTCAAGAAAAGTGGTGAAAAGTAAATAAAATATATTTTATAAAAATGCTGTTTTGTGGCAGATGAATGCACTGAACTGTACAATGTCAACAGCAACTTTTAAGTCAACAAAGATACTGCAGAAGTGCTTAAAAAAGTGCATATTTATAACTATAAAGTATATTTAATACAAACATACCTTTGAAATGCAAAGCATTTTTCATATGCACACTTAGATGCTCCTCAATCTTTGCCCTGACAGTAGGGCTGGAAGTGGGGCACAGAGGGCAATGAAAGAGTCCTCTGCAACACGTGTTGCATTCCTGCAATTCTGGCTTTAAGCCCGAATTCCAGATTCATATGTGCATCTAAAACAGAGAGAAAAACAGATAAACACCATATACACATTTAAGTTCAGGTTTTAGCAGAAATAACACATTACAGTTAGCATGTAATAGATTTGGGAGGAAACTTCTTGAAAAAAACAAACATTTTACAAGACACTTTCATTTGTGAGATGTGTTTCTATTGACATATAAGCGTCAATTGAACAGGGGCTAACTAAAATCTGGGCAATAAAAAAGCTGAACAGAATAGAATAACGAATAGAAGTATTGATATAAATCTGTTTGTGACGAAATTTACGGTGTTGATGCTAACCTAAGGTGTCAAAAGTGCACACGTTCCTTACTACAGTTTAGATACCTCTGTTTAAAAATAGTCAAATAAAAGTAGAAGCATTGACTCGACTTTTTAGTCAAGTGGAAGTAAGAAGTACAGGGTATAAAATATAATTTATGTACAAAATTCTGAAGTAATCTTGCGTCCAAAGCACGGATTACAAAGTACAGACACGCGTGCTAAAATGTGAGAAGTAGAAGTATAAAGAAGTATACAGTAGGCACAAAAAAGTACAGCAGTTAAGATACCAGAAAATTCTACTTAAGTACAGTATTGAAGTATTCGTTATTTTGCATCTCTGACGCCAACAATAAATCATACTCTAATGCAAAATGTGTTTTTTCTTCTTCTCGCCCACAGAAGCCGTTAATCCAACCCTCTTACTTAAACCAGGCCCAGGAAAAAGCATATCTGTGTGTTTCTCTGCCATGGAGCATGATAAAAAAAAATTAAAATAAGAAGGAATGTTGTTGTAACGCAAAAAAAAGTGGCAACCTGATCATTCTAAGAAAACTAGAATTATGAAATCACTAACGGCAAGTTTATTTAAGAAAGACTGTCCCAACCTTTGCGAACGACTAGCAAGACGTCCGCTGTATCCATGAGTGTTTATGGCTACTGCGGAGGGCACGTGTATCCGGTTACTGTGGAGCTCCACAGTGGCCGCAGCCAGACCCTTCTCGAGGAGTGTGATCCCGTATAGTTGGAACACACCCTCAGGTCACCCTTCTAAAAGATGGGGACCACCACCCCAGTCTGCCACTCCACAGGAACTGCCCCCGATGACCACGCAATGTTGCAGAGACGTGCCAACCACGACAGCCCTACAACCTCCATAGCCTTGAGATACCCAGGACGAATCTCGTCCGCCCCCGGGGCTCCGCCGCTGTGTAGTTGTTTGACTACCTCAGCAACTTCTGCCCCCGAGATTGGACAGTCCATCCCCAGGTCTCCCGGCTCTGGTTCCTCCTCGGAATGCGCGTAAGTGGGATTGAGGAGCTCCTCAAAGTATTCCTTCCACTGTCCGACTATAGCCCCAGATGACGTCAGCAGCTCCCCATCTCCACTGTAAACAGTGTGAGCGAGTTGCTGCCTTCCTCTCCTGAGGCGCCGGACAGTTTGCCAGAACCTCTTTGGAGCCGATCGATAGTCTTTCTCCATTGCCTCACCAATCGCCTCCCACACCCGAGATTTTGCCTCGGCAACTGCCACTGCTGCACCCCGCTTGGCTATCCGGTACCTGTCTGCTGCCTCCGGAGATCCACAGACCAGCCATGCCCTGTAGGCCTCCTTCTTTAGCCTGATGGCTCCCTGAACCTCTGGTGTCCACCAGCGAGTACAGGGGTTGCCACCACGACTGGCACCGGCCACCTTGCGACCACAGCTAGCAACAGCCGCCTCAACAATCGCAGAGTGGAACAAGGCCCACTCGGAGTCGATGTCCCACACTGCTCTCGGGACGCGGTCAAAGCTCTGCCGGAGGTGGGAGTTGAAGACCGTCTTGACAGGTTCTTCTGCCAGGCGTTCCTAGCAGACCCTCACTATGCGTTTGGGTCTGCCAGGTCTACGCTGCATCTTCCCCTCCAACTCACCACCAGGTGGTGATCAGTTGACAGCTCCGCTCCTCTCTTCACTCGGGTGTCCAGGCGGGCC